AATAGCACCCTTCTTGCAAGGGCAAGGAATTTTTATTAAGGAGGGTGGAAATAACAAAGTATATATAATAATTAAAGGAAAGTTATATATATATATCACCAACATAATATAAATATCTTAACATATACATTTATATTCAATTTTTACACACATATATAACAATATATATATATATATATATATAAGTTTTGCTCATCAATTTTTCATGGTATAAAAATCATTAGTCATTATACCTACAACAAATATTTTAGCAATTTCTTTTGCAATATAAATTATCATTAAATTGGTAAAAATTTTATCATCTCTATGAGCATTAAATGATTTAAATACATCATTGTAATCTAAAGTTCTTTTCAATATAATAAGCTCTATTACTTACTTATTGAATTTACTATTTAATTCTTTCAATTGATAATCATACTTCAATAATGCTTAATTGTCATAAAATCTTTATGTTAATAAGATCGAATTATATTAGAGTAAAATCATTCATATCATAAATTTCAATAGCTTGATTATTAAAAAAAGTAATTTTTTTCTAGAAGAACATCTTCATCAAACCTCTTAATTTTTGGATGAGTAATTTTATGATACATATCAAATACATAACATTCAATATATCTTGAAATTTTTGTTACATTGCATAACAAAGTTTGTTAATAATAATTCTCATAATTTTTTTCGTTAAATATAATATTATCTTGTTGAAAATAAGTAGATCATGTAACAACTATATCTTCAAGCTATTGAAACAGTTACTCTGTACATACATAAAAGACTTTATATAAAATTGAAATGAGAATTCCATCTAGTGTTTCATAACTTCTATAATGTGTCAATTTATGAGAGCTGAAAATATATAACTCTGATATTTTACTAAGAAAAAATTAACCAAAAAAATTAACCTAAATTTCCATACCATGCAACTTACAATTTAGAAAAGAGATTGAGATATGACTAGAAGAACTTGAAAATCATTGCAAATTTTAAAATTTATACTGTTGCGCATTTGAATGTATGAGAATTGAGATTTGAACCAAATTTTATAGTTAGACAAGAAAAAATTTATGGATCTCAAATTCAATATTTTATTATAACACCTTTGTAATTTCAAATTCTCTCAAAATGCTAGTTATTTGAATTTTCAACTACTTCAATACTCTTATTTCCTTCAAATTTTTATTATTGGCACCTCTGTTACTCTTACCTTTCCTCTCATCTCTCGTCCTCATCTATCACTGATTAAAATATAAGTAACCTTGTCATTCTCAATCTTTTTTTCTGCTTTGAAGTTCAGCTCATTTCTTTTTTATGTTTAAAATTTTTTACACTATCCAAACAAAACAATTTTAAATATAAGGACTTTCAATTTAAAATTTAAATTCAAACATGTCCATCCAAACGCTATCTAATTGTTTAAAGAGATTTTGGCGGCATTGATGATTTTTAAAGCTTAATTACATCTGTACAATTATGCGCCTTTAAAAACCTTGCTGAATTATACATATGATTGTCTGCACAAACTGAATTATTTATTCCTTGTTATTTTCTTGGTCATATGACAATATATTTATGTTTCTTCTTGTTGCTACTCCAGGACCAGGACAAAGGTATGCAACCATGCTATTCACTTGACTAGGTACAGTTGGGTCGTGCCAAACAGGCGAGGCTACCAAATCCGCCATTAATTCTGATGAATTTGAAATCAAGATTTCAAGAGTATGTGAATTCATCTCAAATTAATGAAAATTTTCACTTCCCTTTCTTTCCTTTTTCTCGCTTTTCTTTATGGTTAACATTAAACATTGATTGGTTGGCAAATCGTTGCTTCACAAGATCCCCAAAGCATGCATGGATTACTCATTACTTTATTAGTATTAGATCATAAATTCTAAATATAACTTTTACTTTGTAATTAAAATTCCTTTTTATAACTCTATCAATCAATATTTATAATTTTTTTTGAAAAAAATTATCAATATCTAATCATTATTAATTCTATTTTTAGAATTTGTGCTGTTCAAGATGGAGCTTTGATTGTTTAAACCTGAAAGCGTAAACAAGCCCACAATATGTAGTGCGAAGAGTCTTTTTACTGGCCTCAATAAGCCCAACATAAACTAACAAGTAGCAAACAAAATAGGGAGAATTATATATAAGTCTCATTCAACACAATTAATAACTTCCAAGTTCGCTGATAAAATATGAGCTCAATTGTAAATAGATCTGAGAATGATTAATTATATTGAATGTGATATTAAAGTTATCCTCCTAACAAAATATTCAAAATGGTTATCCTCCTAACGAAAAATTCAAAATGGCCCGGAAGTCCTGTAACAATATGATTCACGTTGAAAACAGAAATGACTTGAGAAATGGACCTGACCAACTTATTTCAGTTTGATTTATGCATAGCAGAGCTAAAGAAAAGAACAGCACTACAAACAAAGAAGATAAGGGTAGAGTAGGTGGAGTAGAAGATAAGGACGAAACATTAATTAAACGTGTCCAAACATTTGTTCTCATGAATGCTAGTCCTATTATTACGTTAAAATCTTATTGAAAGGTAATTTATAAATACGTACCTTCTTTTTTTTTTTTTTGTTATTGCATATAGCTAGGTATTATCATAATTAAAATACTGTCAAATATTACATGTGGGCACCTCTCATAATAGAGATTTAAATTTTTATTTATCACATTGTGAGGGATTAACTCTTTTTACTAGACTCAATCCTAGAGCTGATAAACAGGCAAGCTCGGCCCATATGGATGCAGATCCAAAAGCTTGGTTATAATAAAATTGGTAATTTCTTCAAACTCGGCCCTTGTTAATCAGGTTTAGGGTCAGGTCCATAAGTCCTTACTGACTAATAAATACCTATTTCATTTATGCAAAGCATTGCTAATTAAAGAACCAATAGAGTTAGGTCTAGCAAAAGAGACTAATTCTTTAGAATATGACAGACCAATATTTGAATTATATTGAAAGATATGCTCACATTTAGTATCCAACATTGCCTCGAACATAATTACTTTCAATAGAAAGATACCTTTGAGGGAACCAAAAAAAAAAAAAGCAGAGGTAGAGAAAAGTACAGGACTAGAAACAAATAATACAAGGGTGGATGAGGCGGAGTGGGTCACAATCAAGATCAACCAGTAATTAAACGTGTCCTAGCAATAACTTAGAAAAATAACTGAGGAGAAATGACTGTGCATTTGAAAATCATTGCATATTTTGAGATCTATGATTGTTTAAAGATAGGCCTTGAAGAATCTGTACTGATGATTTTTGAAGCAAAATTGCGGATGTGCAATGCACCTTTAAGAACCTTTCCTTTCAAATTTTCCATCTGGTTATTCTTATCCCCAATTTTCCCTACAGATTATTCTAACGATGACTATTGCTAGTCCTATTGCTGCATATAAATATCATTGATGAGTAATTTATAGGGAAAATTGCATCCAGGAATTACTGAAGTACCTCATTCGCTAAAGGAATCGAATGATTCTGAATTTGATCTACAAGAACAAGAAACTTAAATGGAATTAAGTTTAGTTGCAAAAATACTAAACTACCCTTGATTTTTTTTTCCCAAAGAAAAGTATCATCCCACAGTAACTAGCGATAAGTCGCATATACAAGTAAACATTAATAAATGGACGGGTAAATGTCAATGAAATGATAAAATCTCATTAATTAAGCCTTTGACAAGTGTATTTCATATCATATAAAAACATATTTTGCATCTTAAATCTTGTTACCAAGTTTCTCTTCATAAATTGATAAGAAAATATTAATAAAATTACAGCTTTACTCAAGTTAAATGATTTGGAAACTAAAGTGACAAGAAAACATTAGTAAATTCACAAATGATTTTTACCAAACTAACAAGTTTCATTAAGCTTTTGGCGAGTAGACTTTAAACTATAATAATACCTTTTTATTAAATATTAGCTTGTCAACAAGTTCTGATTAATGATTTAACAAGAAAACATTAAGAGATGTGCATTGCACTTAAAAATCATTGCAGATTTCCAAATCTTTATTCGATTATTAAGACATTAACACTTAAAAATCACTGTTGATTTCAAAATCTGTAATGGCGTTTTAAGAGACCTTGAAGTACCAGCATTGATAATTTTTTAAGCTTAATTACATATGTGCAATGCACCTTTAAGAACTTTCAATTGTTGGTAAATTCCTTTCAAAATTTCACCCATTTTTTTATCCCAAAATTTTGCTACAAATTACTCTTATGAATGCTAGTATTACTACATTAAAGTCTTACTGAAAAGTAAGTCATAAATACATGTTTATTATTGTTGTTGTTGTCGCTGCTGCTGCTGCTTTTGTTGTTATTGCTTACATGTATTTTCATGATTGAGGTTGGTCAAGCACTAACCTTTAGTTTAGATGGAGAGAAAAAAAAACGGGGGGTAAATAAAACTATGCGGGGAACTTCCAAAAATAATTTTAAAAATTTACTATTTTAAAAAATTGTCCCTTATAGTTTTCTTTCCTTACTTCCAAAAATAATTTTAAGAAATTTATTATTTTAGAAAATTGTCCTTTATAGTTTTCTTTCCTTCTCTATTTTCTTCTTACTTTTCTTTCTATCCAAACAAAGCCTAAATGTGGGCACCTCTTCCAAAAAATGTTTGAATCTTAATTCACCTCATTATGAATCTTATTGTGATATTGTGAAGGATTAATTTCTTCTACTATACCCAACTTATTAATCTGCCATTTGTGGGTCCGCCTCACCTGAAATCTATCTCCTGATCTTGCTTGTTGCTTCCATAATTTGGATTCTAAGCTACAAGTCTAGAGTTCACGTGCCTATGCCTATTCCAAAACGTGGTATATCTTCAATTTTTTTTTTTTTCCCAGCTTGCATCGATGATCATCGAAATTACTCCTCCTTTTGGTAGTAGTAGGATCTATAAATAGAACCCTCCATCCTCTTGTTTCCACATAGCAACACAAACCAAGAAACAAAAGCTCGACATTCAATATAATGAAGCCTTCCTCATTTTCCCTCTTCGTTCTCTTTGCCTTCTTCACTTCTTTAACCACAGCCAGGTTTCTCGTTGACAGTCAAGGCGAACCCATTGTGAATGGTGCCTCATACTACATCGTTCATCCTATCTGGCCAGGACCCGGTGGCTTGGATCTTGCCAAGACTGGAAATGAAACTTGCCCTCTTAGTGTTGTGCAACTGCCATTTAGCATTTTCCCTGAACGCGGCTTGCCTTGGACAGTTAAATCCCCATCAGAAATTGTAAACATCACATCAAGCACTAATGTGGACTTCTTCTCTGTTGAGGGAAAAGTACCATCATGTGTTCCTGTGCCGTCCAAGTGGACTATTGTTGAGGGAGAAGATGGGGTGAAGTCCGTGAAAATCAGTGGGTACGAGAAAACTCTGCAGGGTTGGTTCAGGATTCAACAATATTCTATTCTCGCGAATAAGATTGAGTTCTGTCCCGTTAATGGTGATTCTTGTAAAGATCTTGGGATTTCCAGAGACAATGATGGAAACTCTCTTTTAGTTATCACTGATGATAATCCGCTTATTGTTGTGTTCATCAAAGCCGAATCATCTGATGCACGTAGAGCCTCTATCATATAAAGTGTAATCGACTATGAATAAGCAATGTGCAGGGTTAAGCTTAGCAAATTCCTTGCACTTTGTGATAATTAAATAAAATTACACTTCAACTCTCTGTCTCTCTCTCTCTCTCTCTAAGCTTCTTACTTTCATATTATGTTTGGATGCATGTGGATTTAGATTCAGATTTGAATTTGGATTCAAGCTAAATCCATTGTTTGGATAATTAATCCAAATCCAAATCCTACCTAAATTCCTTTGTAATTTAAATTTTTTTCTAAACTTCTATTATTTTAAATTTCCTACCATCCTACGTTCCTATGCTGTCCAAGTGGACTATTGTTGAAGGAGAAGATGGGGTGAAGTCCGTGAAAATCAGTGGGTATGAGAAAACTCTGTAGGGTTGGTTCAGGATTCAACAATATCCTAATTTCACGTGCAAGATTGTGTTCTGTCCCATTAATGGTGATTACTGTAAAGATCTTGGGATTTCTAGAGGCCCAGGTGGAATCTCACGTTTGGTTATCACTACTGATGATAGCCCTCTTGTTGCTATATTTATCATGGCTCAATCATTTGATGCACAAAGAGCCTTTGGCTATTATCTAAAGTGTAATTGACTATGAATAAGTAATGTACAAGATTAAGCTTCGTTATTTCATTGCACTTTGTCATAACTATAAATAAAGTCATGCTTCAAGAGGCTCCTTGCATTCGTTAAGATCTTAAGCTTATGTTGTTTGGGCGTTTTAGTTTGGGATCAGTAATGAAACTTTTAGCTCCTCAAATTTGCTTGCCAATATAGCTATCAATTTAGTCTTTTAAGTTTAATTTTTATTTATTTAATTTTTTAAGTTTGTCTCAATTATCAATTTGATCCTTATTGCAAAGCAAACAATATCATTCAAGGACCCTATAAGCAAGATATTTGCATAAAAAGTACAAATGGATTCTCAAATATCATGAAAAGATTAAGGGACTAACTTACAATTAATTTTTTAGTTAATTATTAAAATAATCTTTATTTATTTTCATTTATTTTTTCGTGTTTGCAAAGATTCTATACATGATAGTTGATCAGCATGACTCTCATGTTAATATATTAACTTCATAAATTATCAGTTAACGGTGTGTTATAGATTAACCGTCTGCGTAACACTATAATTTTTATCTTTTTTTTTTTAAGCTTTTGTAAACTGAAGTGGAGAGGCATCATTCTTATTTTAGGAGTAGGTGTGACGAAGGATTGAGGTTTTAAAATGTGAGGACGATAGCTAAAGACACAATAAAGAAATTATAATGAAAGTTAGATCTCCAATAATTTTTTTTAAAAAAAATAAGTTACAAATATTAATTTAAATAATCATAAATTTAGAAATTCTAATTATTAATATAATTTTCAGTTCACAAACTGAAAGTGTTTACATCTATTTGAATCAGCAATTATATTTCATTTTTCAAAAAATTTCATCATAATCTAATTATTATTATTAATTCTCTCTTTCAGGATTTTCTTGTCGCTCAAGATGGAGGTTTGGTCGTCCAAACCTGAAAGCCTAAACAAGCCCTTTTGTTCTGTTAAGAAGATGCCCTTTTGCTGGCCTCAATAAGGCAAACATAAACCAGAAAACCAAATATTATTCAAAATGGTCCACAAATAACACTGAAACTGACCGACTGATTTCTGTTTGATTTATGCAAAGAAGTAAGGGTAGAGAAGAGGTGGAATGGGCCATAATCTGGACTAAACATTGATTAAATGTGTCCTAACAAGTGGACTACAGGGGTTACAACTGATAAAGATATTAAAAACCAAAATAGTTATTGAATTGATTAAAATATTAGTTCAAGAATTAATGGTTAAAATCATAATCGAACCATAATAAAATCAGTTATACATAAATAAAACATTTTATTAATTAATTAAGACATTGGTTTAATGATGTGCTAGTTCAACCGGATGAATTAACCCGAATTTCCATACCATGCAACTTACAATTTAAAAAAAAGATTGAGAAATGATCGAACTTGAAAATCATTGCAAATTTTAAAATTTATAATGTTTCTTGAGATTTGAACCCAATTTTTTATTTATATAAGTAAAAGTTTATAGATTTCAAATTCAATATTTTATCATAACATCTTTGTAATTTCAAATTCTTTCAAAACACTAGTTATTTGAATTTTCAACTACTTTAAACTCTTATTTCCTTCAAATTTTTATTATTGTTGCCTCTATTACTCTTACCTTTCCTCTCATCTCTCATTAATCAAAAAATATAGGTAGCCTTTTCATTCTCAATCTCTTGTTTCTACTTTGAATTCTAGCTCATTTATTTTCTACATTTAAATTTTTTTACACTAGCCAAACTAACAATTTAAAAAATATGAATTTTAAATGTGATATTTTAAATTTAAAATTTAAATTCAATCATGTCCATCCAAACGCTAACTAATTGTTTAAAGAGATTTCGGTGATATTGATTATTTTTAAAGCTTAATTACATCTGTGCAATTATGCGCCTTTAAAAACCTTGCTGAATCATACATATGATTGCCTGCACAAACTGAATTATTTATTCCTTATTATTTTTTAGTCACATGACAATATATTTGTATTTCTTGTTGCTACTCCAGGACCAGGACAAAGGTATGCAACCATCCTATTCACTTGACTGGGTACAGTTGGGTCGTGCCAAACGGGCTAGGCTGCCAAATCTGCCATTAATTCTGATGAATTTGAAATCAAGATTCAAGAGTTATGTGAATTCATCACAAATTAATGAAAATTTTCACTTCCCTTTCGTTCCTTTTGCTCGCTTTTCTTTATGGTTAACATTAAACATTGATTGGTTGGCAAATCGTAGCTTCACAAGATCCCCAAGGCATGCATGGATTACTCATTGCTTTTGTAATTAAAATACCTTTTTGTGATTGTGTGAATCAATATTTATAATTTATTTTTTCAAAAAAATTATCAAAATCTAACTATCATTAATTCTATTTTTGGGATCTGTGTTGTTCAAGATGGAGTTTTGATTGTCTAAACTTGAAAGCCTAATCAAGCCAATATGTTATGCGAAGATGTCTTTTTGCTGGCCTTAATAAGGCCAACATAAACTAGTAAACAAAACAAGGAGAATTATATATATACAAGTCTTACTTAACACTTAATTACTTCCAAGTTCATTGATAAAATATGAGATTGGATCTGAGAGTAATTAATTGTATTGAATGGATATCAAAGTAATTCTCCCAACAACATATTCAAAATGGCCCACGCCCTGCAACAATATGATTCACGTTCAAAACTGAAATAACCTGAGAAATGGACCTGACCAACTTATTTCAGTTTGATTTTTGCATAGCAGAGCTAAAGAAAAGAACGGCGCACTACAAACAAAGAAGATAAGGGTAGAGTAGGTGAAGTAGAAGATAAGGACGAAACATTAATTAAACGTGTCCAAACATTTGTTCTCATGAATTCTAGTCCTATTATTACATTAAAATCTTATTGAAAAGTAATTTATAAATACATATTTTTTTTTTGTTATTGCATATAGCTAGGTATTATCGTAATGAAAATACAATCAAATATTACATGTGGGTACCTCTCATAATAGAGATTTAAATTTTTGATCATCACATTATGAAGGATTAGCTCTTTTTGCTAGATTTAATCATAGAGCTGATAAACGAGCAAGCTCAACCCATATGAATGCAAACCCAGAGCCTGATTATCATAAAATTGATCATTTCTTCAAGCTCAACCCTTATTGATTGGGTTTAGGGTCAAGCCCATGAGCCCTTTTTTATTTGTAATTTTTTAATTTATAAAAGTTTAACTTTTACAATATAATGTTGCATATTCAAAAATTAAAAAAAGAAATATAAATTTTAATTTTAAAATATTAATATACATTTTAAAGTCTAAATTTAATTTAAAAATTAAAAATATTTTATTTTAATAGTAAAATAAAAATAAATCTAAACATGCGCTTGCGCCCAAGCTCATTTTTGCTAGGCCTAATAGAGGTGAGTTTAGAAGTCTAGTTATTGTACATTTCTTTAATTTTTTTTTATAATGTCCCAATTTTTTAATTTTTTTTGTTTTTTTTAATCAATGGCTTTTATATAAAATAAGAAATATTTGATATTTTAAAACTCTTTACGTCAAGGCGAAAACAGACACCAACTTAGGAAAAATGGAGTACTAATTTTCAGAGAATTTTCTTACAATAATAGAAGAAGAAATAAAGCTTGCCAAAGTGAATGTCAAAAACAATTTGTTTTGAAGGAAATGAGATTAGCTCTTAAATGGATGGCTAATGTTGATGGTTTTGGTCCTCTTGGATTTACTAACATTATTGCAGTTGTCATCAAGAGAAAGTTATTCAAAAACACCCAAAGATCTTACAGAAAAGATTTTATGGAGTGATATTCAAGTTTTTCTCAACTTTTTCGATACTTTTGATAGAATTATTACCTTAAGCTGGGAGAGGATGGTGAAATTTTATTTCCTCTTCTTCTTTTAGCTGTAATAGTAGGTTTGAACTATTTGTAGTTGTTACTTAATTCAAAAACCAAAAAAACAAGAAGAAACTCTAACCTCGTCGAAGGCTATGTAGGATGCTCCAATAATTAATTAATATGAAAGACAATCATTGAGGAGGGTGCTGCTCATAAATCAACGGTGGATAGCTTTTGGTAGATCTTGCCTTTGGGGTTCAAAAAAAGGCCGGGAAAGAAAAACACAAAGAAAGATGAAAACGTGAAAAATAATTACAATAAAATAAGAATAAAATAAGACCCTGACAGCAAAATTAAAAGTTGGGTCTCATTCACAGTAGGACTCATTCATTTCATCTAGTCTCCCTCATCTTGTCTTTATTATTATGTAAGAAATGAATTGTTCAAATTTAATTAATTTATAAAAAAACCATCTTAATACATTTAAAAAAATTAATTAATTAATTAAAATGGTTAAAATTTGACCCAAGCAGTTTATAATTACAACAAAATAAATAAAAAATTTAATTTATGAAATTAAAAATTATTATTTGGTTCTTATAGTTCTAATTCAATTGTAACTAAATTTTTTAATTTTAATTTGTT